TATATTCTAACTAGTCGTTATTATCACTAATATATTTTTAATTTAAATGTTTTATTAAACATTTACACAGGGATATTTACAGATTGAGATAAATCAAGCAGTATAAAAAGTATTGAGTACGTTAAAGAATAATGCCTTCTCGAGAGGATAACAGCCATGGACGCAAAGCAAATTTTAAATTTAATAACAAACATGAAGTAAGTGTAAATAAAACTATTTTCTAATTTAACAGTTCCAGCCAATTAAAATTTTTTTATCTCTGAGTCTAGCAGCAATATACGTACGTACACTCACTGAGGTCCATATTCAAGGTCGAAATGTTCGATTATGTATTTTAATTGTTTATTTTCAATAATAATTAGTGAAAATCAATCTGCTTTTGGTTCTTTTAGAAAAAATTTCCTATATTTGTGGAAATACAAATTTCTTACATATTTTTATACATGTTTATATATGACCTGTTGTAGTTTATATATAAATTTATACAATCATTATAAAGCATCTATTCACTTAGCTTTTCTTATATAATTACATATAAAAGATTGGATTATTTCAATATTTATATGACACAAAAACTTAATGTTGTTATGTTTGTGACCTTATTGCACTATTATTGGTATATCGCAATGTTGCTGTAATACTGCTGGAATTAATAATTTATGCTGTACAGGATGTATAAGATGCATTTAAAAAATTTTTAGACAAGTTATGTGACATCAAGAAAGACATAAGATAGTACCATTTGTATATTCTAATTTGTATTTTAAATTTTATACATTATACATATTATATAATATATGTATAAATTTAAAACAATATGTTAATATTTGCTATTCAAATTTGCCCTGATATGATTAATAGATTACAAATAATCTACTGTGTAAACGTTTACGAACATTCCTTTAGTATATGTGTACCTCTCTTAGGAAGCTCGAATAAGAAGGAATGCATTATCAGTGGAACTACGTAAAGCCAAGAAGGATGATCAATTATCAAAACGACGTAATCTTGATACATCAAATCAAGAACAGTCAGATTTATCGGATAAAGCTGCTGTTTCACCCACTCCTACTCTTTCTATAAATGAAATTGTAAACCATATAAACTCATCAGATGAGACATTACAATTGTCGGCAATTCAGACTTGCAGAAAATTATTAAGTCGAGAAAAAAATCCTCCTATAAATGATATAATAGAAGGTGGCATAGTACCACGTTGCATTGAGCTCTTAGATAACGATTATAAGTATGTATATGAACACTATGAAAATAATTTATTGATTTAAGTGAATTATTTCTTCATATATTTAAGAAACAAGATATAATTTATTTATTTCTATTTAGCATTGCTTTGCAATTTGAAGTAGCATGGGTATTAACTAACATAGCCTCTGGTACATCCTTACAAACACAAAATGTTGTAAAATATGGAGCAATACCAAAATTAGTGAAACTACTTAAATCTACATCATCCGTCGTTGCGGAACAAGCAGTGTGGGCCTTAGGAAATATAGCCGGAGATGGTCCATATGCACGTGATCTAGTTCTTGGACATGATGCTCTGCCTCTGTTGCTGGATTTAATTAAACCTGATACTTCAGTAAGTGACATTGTATTTGACAACCTTTGATTACGTTTGTCTTGATTGCTTTCATATTGTCGATATTAATATTAAAAAATTTTATTAATGTCAGAAATGTACAAATTTTAAGCCCTGCGCATAACAAAAGAAATATTAGGAGCAAGAGTACTAAATATTAGGGACTTAAAGAAGTAAAATGAAATAAAATATTATAAATAGAAATAAATATTAAATATTAGAGAAATAAAATTAGAAATAAATTTAAATGTAACACACAATGAATACAAGTAAGATAGAAGATATTATGTGTTAAGGCCTAAACACAATGTGAAGGCAACAGCGATAGGGATAAAAATAGCGATAGCGATAGGAACAGAGGAATCCATATGTCAATGTACATAGGAATATGTGCGTTGACATATGCATTCTCGTATGTTGGATTCCTCTGTTCCTATCGCTATCGCTATTTGTATCGCTATTGCTATCACTATCTCTATCGCTATCGTTGTTGCCTTTGCATTGTGTTTAGGGCTTTACAATTAATCTTTATTCGTAATGTTATTTTTTAATATTTAATATTTATGTGCGCAGAGCCTCTAAGATTTGTACATTTTTTATGATAAAACAATGATTAAATACAGGGTGGGCCATCTATTGGTACGTTTTTAAAAATGTTAGCTTCACAACAAAAAAAAAATTAATAAAAAATATCAATGTATGCTCATTTGATCGCATTTTTAAAAACGTACCAATAGATGGCCCACCCTGTAAAAACGTACCAATAGATGGCCCACCCTGTAGTTAATGTCAGTATTCAATCATATTAAACATTGCTATCTAATTATTCTAAGAATAGATTATCTAATAGATATATTAGTCTTATAATAATTAAATAACATGTACACACAAACATGTGTGTGCGTGCGTGCGCGCGCGCGCGCCCGTGTGTGTGTGTGTATAAAACATAAGATTTGAACAAGTAGATGACATATTTTAATATTTTCCGATACTAATTAAATGTGCAGATGATATTCTTGCGGAACGTTGTATGGACTTTATCTAATTTATGTCGAAATAAGAATCCACCTCCACCTTTTGAATTGATTAAACCTGTTCTACCAATATTTAATCGCCTGCTTAGTTATACAGATCGAGATGTACTTGGTAAGATGTTCATATTGTTATTTTATATATTATATAATTTACTTTGAATTTAAGATACTTACATTGCTGTTTGTCCTAGCTGATACCTGTTGGGCACTTTCTTACCTTACTGATGGATCCAACGACAAAATACAAGCAGTATTAGAAACTGGCATTATACCGAGACTTGTAGAGATATTGACTTTGCAGGAAGGAATTATTCTTACTCCAGCATTGCGTACAGTTGGAAATATAGTAACAGGTGATGATGCTCAAACGGATGCTGTAATTCTTGCGGGAGGATTGTCACATCTTGGTGCCTTGTTGCGGTATCATCGCGTCAATATTGTAAAGGAAGCTGCTTGGGCAATTAGTAATATTATGGCTGGTAATCCGAATCAAATCCAAAATGTGATAGATGCTGGTCTTTTACCACCATTGATAGAAGTACTGCAGTTTGTAAGTGTGTTTGCGCACATACACGACAAAATTAGTTGAAGACTTGTTTTAAATATTTGTGTAAAGAATTTTGTAGATAAATTTATTCATTTTTTAAGGGGGACTATAAGTCACAAAAAGAGGCTGCATGGGCTATAACTAACTTGACAACAGGAGGAACAATCCAACATTTATCCCAATTAGTGGGAGCGGGTGTATTGCCACCTTTTTGTAATTTATTGGAATCGAAAGATTGGAATGTTGTTATTGTTGTATTAGATGGTCTAACTAATATTTTGCATGCAGCAGAGAAAATAGGACAAGTGGAAAGACTTGCTATTCTGATAGAAGAAGCTGGAGGATTAGATAAAATAGAAGCTCTTCAACATCATCAGAATGAGCAAGTTTATCAAAAATCTATGGCTATAATCGACGCGTTTTTTTCGCAAAAGGTTTGCACATTTATTTCATGTTTATAAATTGAAAATAATCTACATAGAAAAGTTCTGTTTTTTCACAGACAGTTTTATCTAAATAAGTAAAATATGTATTATAAATAAAATTGTAATTTGTCTGTATTAATTAACTGAATAAGAAAAGCACCAATTATGATCAAAGTTAGATGTTGGAATAATACATCTGTATGCATTTTTAATTAGATTTTTGATGCTACTAGCATATTACAATCTAAAGAACTTATTGCAAAAAGTATTATTTCAGCCCGGATCTCTTTAACTGTATTAAATTTAATAGTATTAATTATAACATTAATTCAATGAGAATGTTCGTATTCATTGACTAACAAATAAAAAAAATTGTTTTTCTAGGATATAGAAGAAACTCTTACTTCTGAAGTTCAAGAGAATTGTGAGGGACAGATTGAATTTAATGTGATGGCGGATTCATCAACAAGTAAATTTGATTTCTGATGAATGAAACTTTGAATTCGGATTGAAATATTGTAAATTAAATAATTTATCAGTATGGAACTATTATTAATTTGTTATACGATAACTTTACAACAAAAATCGGAATGCTTATGTCAATCAATCAAATTCAGCAATATACGCAAGGCAAAAATTAAAAAAGGAAAAAGTTTTAGAAACGAATTTTGTTCTATTTTAGATAATCTCATTTTTTATATGTATTGTAAGAATAAAATTGTATTGAGAATAAAATAATTTCATTTTTGATAATTGAGTTTCATATTTTTTAATACACTTTCACAAGCCATTTAAATCGGCTGTTTCAGCGACAAAAAAGGTCATGTGATCAAAGTTAACGCTTGAGATCTGTCAATTTTAAGAGCCTAGACACAAACTTTTGCATAAAGGTAAATTTTCACGAGCTGCTCTAACCGGCTATTTTAGCGACAAAAAGGATCACGTGATCAAAATGGACATTTGATATTCGTCAATTTTGATCACGTGATTCTTTTTGTCGCTGAAACAGCCGGTTTGAGCAGCCCGTGAAAATTTACCTTAACGCATAACACAGTGCATAATGTGAGATAGAATGTATAGGATAAAATGAAATAGAAATATGTCACTAGTACTATAAATTTTTGCGCTCTCCTATTGGTAGAGCGTGTGATATCAACCAATAGGAAAGATTAATCCAACCCAGGTTGGTGCAAACCCGATCGGGCCGAAAACGCTATAGGACTCTAGTGTGCAGGATATACTCTTAAGGCCGCAGCACACACTCTTGCATAACGCAGTTTGTGCTGCGGCCTTTAACCCCCCTCCGCGGAGTTTAAACTCCGTCTTATGTATTTTACACGTCTATGGTATATATAGCCGATAGCGGCGATAGCGGCATAGCGCCGCGACGACGCCGCCATTCGTCGTTGAGCGGCATTGGTGATTGGTTAATCGGTAAGAGCGCCAGGCGGGTGACTGTCGTGACTGATGAGCCCATCGACACAGATCAACAAGAATTGACAAGAACCAAGAATATTAGCAATAATATCGAGTCCTTCTTTGTGTAATTCTGATTTACAGGGAGAAGGGCAGTTACAACGTCTCTAAAAATCTCGATTCTTACAACCTCCGAGGAAATTCAAGAAACATGTTACGTTTCTTCATTACAATTGCGGCACTTGCTGTGCTGATCGAAGCAGAATTCCAAAGGTGAGTACACGTAAATTAAAAACATCGCGGATTCGTACTCAACACTCGTATCCGCATTATAAATCGATTAGAGATCGTGCGTATACGTACGTTTATATTAAATAAACAATCTTAACTGATAATTTTGAAGAATCATATCTCTTCCTATCGGAGTTAAGCAGGCGAACAAAGAGATGATTGTGTTGAAGATCTCTTGCATATTTGTTTTCCTTACGACGACTTAAATGAGATTAGCGAGTAATAAAGAGCAGTTTACATTTAGACTATTTCAATTTCATTCTGATTCTTAAATAGACAAAGGCTTTGTTCCAAAATTTACTGCCAATATTGAAAATATGTAGCTTATGTTATGTGTACTATAGATTTTCAGTACTGGCAGTAAATTTTGGAACATGGCCAAATATAAAATCTGTTTTTTATTCTTGCACTAGACTGCACTAGAATTCTTTTTCTCGCTTTTGCTAAATGCCGAACATATATTTACCTATCGTGTTAAGTTTCGAAAGTGTACATTAGTTCAGTTACAAAACACACACAGACCCATAGATAGTTCAGTTACAAAACACAGACCCATATAGATAGCAACGAACACATTCCTGATTACTAGTGATGGGCGTTATTTCGTTATCTGTTACTGAGTTAACAGTCATCAAATTTGAAAATGGTTAACAGACTAAATGATTATTTTTATCAAGTCTTAAATTTTATAAGTAGATAAAAGTAGTAAATTTCAAATTCTAAAAAAGAAAATTGTTCAAATTATCAAATTTATAAATGAAATAATAGAAATTCTATAGGCTCTAATGAATTAAATCAATTTTAAGAATATAAAAAGCCTTTGAGAGCCAGTGCTGGATGTTATTGCAATCAAGTTTTATTAGATATATATGTAACAACTGAGTAAATAAATACATTTCGATCCTTGGTTTGGATTCTCTTCATTAATGATAAAAAAAGAATATTTGTTCGTTGTTCGCACGATGAACAAATATTTCTTTTTTTATCATTAATGTATTTGCTGAAGAAGATCCAAATCAAGAATTGAAACGTCTTTGTTTATTCAGTTGTTATATACAATAAAACTTGATTGCAATAACATTCAGAGCACTAGATAAAAGATAAATTTCAAATTTTAAAAAAGGAAATTGTTTAAATTATCAAATTTATAAATGAAATAATAGATATGTAACAACTGAATAAACAAATACATTTCGATCCTTGGTTTGGATCCTCTTCGTTAATGATAAAAAAGGAATATTTGTTCGTTGTTTGCAAGATAAACAAATATTTTTTTTTATCATTAATGTATTTGCTGAAGAAAATCCAAATCAAGAATTAAAACGTCTTTGTTTATTCAGTTGTTATATATCTTTTATCTCAAAGGCTTTTATTTTCTTAATTGATATAGATGAAATATTATCATATAACATTTTGTTTATATATTTTTTAATTTAATCATACTACGATAAAAAAAATGGAATTTCAAAAATGACTTTTCTCTCTTTTTCCTAATGATTATTACTTATTAATCATATTAATATTTTTCGATTGCAATATGGCCCTACACAAAATGAAAAGAAATTTGAGCTATTATGAATAATTATATTAATATCAATTTTTGCGCATAAAATTTAACACTTTATATTTATTTGTTTAAGCAAAAATATTTTAAATAATGAAATATTTCAAACTAAATTTCTTAAATAACTTAAATAATGAGAAATAATCCAAAAATGTGACTAGGATATAGGATATTATGAGTAATAAAAACCGTTCAAATGACCGATAATTATTTAAATAACCGGTTCTTTTGAAGTAACAATAAAATTATAATTGTACTTGTTTACAAAAAATAACTATTTAGCCCATCATTACTGCTTACTTATCATTTGTTTATCGTGTAATTTTTAAGTAACATATAATTAACTCATTCGAAGTAATTTTCTAATTTTCTTTGTATAAAATTGTACAGTTAATGAATGTTCACTATCGAATCAAGATTTATTTAAAAAGATCTGGACTATAAATTTTATAGTACTTTTAAATATGCATGAATCATGATATGATGAATCATAAAGATTCAGATTGATTATCAAATCCACAATTAAAGAAATAGACTTCTTTTTAATTGCATCACACATGCAATTTTGTTTTATTTTATATTATACATGTATAGAAAAGCTTCTAGAACAAAGATTAAACTTATATGATGGTTTTCATGACTCATTGTTTTTTTAAATTAGTACCGCTTGCATCAGTGGAGATATTTCTATACATACGTGTATGTATGTACATATATATCTCTTATGTATAAATATCTCCTCTGATATATACGTGATAAATGTGTGCATATAGTATAATGGAACTTCTTTGTGTTGCTTTAAGAATTTCATTACACAAGGTAGATTCCATTCGAAAAGCTTTGAAAGAGGTTGACACTGACCTGACACAAGTTCGTATGCTTACAACTACTGGCACACCAGAACCTCTATCTAATTATTTGGATGCTCAATACTATGGTGTTATTTCAATTGGAACTCCACCACAGAATTTTAAAGTAATTTTTGATACTGGTTCCTCCAACCTCTGGGTACCATCCAAGAAATGCAGCCTTACCAACATTGCTTGCTGTAAGTACATCATAGTTTCACTATTTCTTTGATGTTTCATTATTTATATACATATATATTTATAATTAATAGTATCACTCTAAACATTGAAATAATCTCGAGTGCTTTTTTTTCTTCAGTATTAATAACAAAAATAAAAATGTAGAATAGAAATAAACAATAAGAATTTTATTGAACCATACATGTGAATAAACAATCAATAGAAAATTAAGCCCATAACAATTAAAGTTAGATCTTTAGTGCTTAAATAATTCGGTGTGAATTTATGTACTAAAGATCTTTCTAAGATGCCTGTGAACATCAAATTATTAAATTGCTAGGCAATTTAATTTGTCATATTACTATGGTAGTTTTGTCGGTATCGCGTTTCAAGACTGCAAAATCAATTCGGCGTGTGGTTTGGCAGAATTTGATACGTAATATATAAATTCATACCGAATTATTTAAGCACTAAAAATATAACTATCGTTATGAGCTTTATTTCTTATTGGTAGAAAAGAAATAATGCTGCAAATTGTGTTCTATCTATTCATATTTGAAATTAATTCTTAAAATCTTTAAAATGGCAGTTTCAAAAATTAAAATCATTGTGATAAACCAAATATTATGGAACTACGCTCTATAATTATTTACAGTCTTCTTTATGTAATTATCACGCTTATTCTTAAAATAGCAATAACCTTCGACATAAGATAGTTCACATGTTAAAGCATAAAATACAAATATATCCAATGATTTAAATTGCTGTTAATTATACATTTAAATTAATAAAGAAATTATTTCTGAACTCTTCGATAATTGAAACTTTTATTTACTATTTTTTACAGTGTTGCATAATAAATATAATAGCAAAAAATCCACTACATACCATAAAAATGATACTGCATTTGCCATTCGTTATGGTACTGGCAGCCTGTCTGGATTTTTATCTGAAGATGTAGTGACTGTGAGTCATTATTTAGCAAACAATTTAATACAGTTCCAACTAAATTGTAATCTATGAAAATTTCTTAAAAAACATTATTATTGGGTAAACCTTCAGATGAGCTACATTTTTGTAAAAAAAGAAATGACTATTTATTTGTTATGTATTTTTGTCTTTTGATTGTGAATATGACGATATAAAATATAAATATCTCCACCCTATATAGTCATTTTTTTTTACGAGGCTGTAGCTCATCCAAAGATTTACCTGTTTTGTTTTCCAAAGTAAAGCACAATATTTTATTAATAATATCGATCCTGTTATAGGTTGCTGGCCTTGCTGTTCAGCATCAAACATTCGCGGAAGCTGTAACAGAACCAGGATTAGCCTTTGTTGCTGCGAAATTCGATGGTATCTTGGGGATGGGTTACTCTACGATATCCGTCGATGGAGTGACTCCCGTCTTTTATAATATGGTCAAACAAAACTTGGTGCCGCAAGCTGTTTTTAGTTTCTATTTAAATCGGTAAAAATTTTTTCATGCATCATGTGTTTCTAAAAATTTTATTTCATTCAAATAGTTTTTCCATATTACAATATAAAAAGTATGAAACCTATACAGCGATCCTTCAGCTGAAGTGGGTGGTGAAATGATATTGGGTGGCTCCGACCCCGATCATTACGAAAGCGAATTCACGTATATTCCTGTTACTCGCAAAGGATACTGGCAATTTACGATGGATGGGTATGTGATTAAATTAAATGTCGCACAATCACGGATCATATTTTGTCAGTAAATTGTTAATGCTACGACAATATAGGGTTCGAGTAAAAGATAGCGCTTTCTGCAAGGAAGGCTGCCAAGCTATTGCCGATACGGGCACTTCCCTAATAGCTGGACCAGTGTCAGAAATCGAAAATATTAACAAAATGATCGGAGCTACTTCTATTGGTGGGGAAGCAATAGTAAGTAATTGACTTTCGCACAATAAGTAACTTACAACAATACCGAGATAAATTACAGAAATAAGAATTAATTTATAATAAATTATTGATTACCAATATGAATATTAATTATTTAAAGGTGAGTTGTAACCAGATTTCTGATATGCCCTCGATCAGTTTCATACTAGGTGGTAAGAATTTCACTCTTACTAGTGAAGATTATGTCCTTAAGGTAAATATAAATGTCTCATGTAATGATTTAAATTATTTTAGAACAGAAATCACGCAATATTTAATTTTTCCTAGATTAAACAATTTGGTAAAACAATATGTATGAGTGGCTTCATGGGTATGGATTTGCCTCAGTCATTATGGATTTTGGGTGATGTATTTATTGGCCGATTTTATACAGAGTTTGATATGGAGAACGACCGAGTAGGATTCGCTATTTCAAAGTAAATATTGATTGCCTTTTCATGAAGTTGCCGTTAAACGCTAAAGAAGATTTAAATGACAACTTCGCGAATAATTTTCTTAGAATACTGTTTCCTTATTGCCTTGTAATTTTTACCTGGGTTCCATGCGATACGTTGTTACACAATTATCTCTACGTGATACTTAATAAAATAAGAATAGATATCGTTTCTAAATATAGCATATCTTTTTTCATATAGAAGTGTATTATCACAGCATATATTATCCAAGTATATATTAAATACAATTAAATTTATTACAATAAAATATATATTCTTTTCATATACTGTACAGTAATTTTACAATACCATTCAAAAGTGTATCGCCTTTACATTTCTAAGCATAACTTTCGTTAAAGTGAATCAAATGAGTGTTTGATTTTCTTTGACAGAAGTTATGCTAAAAAAGATTAAGGTGATACGTTTTTGAGCGATACTATATATTATCTTTCAATTTTACATATCCCAAGTATCATTACATATATTATGCATTTTCTGCTTAAACATAGTACACTATATTCTGAGTATGGCATACCATAAAAGGAGTTGATAACATTATTTATAATTATAATTAATAAACAAATTAATGTGTTATTTTTTGCATCTTATGACGAGAAAGTAGTACTTTTTGAAGAGTAACTAGGTAGTATGCTAGATTTTTCTGTTTTATTGCATGAAGTGCATAAAACGCGGAAGTAGATGATAATCAAGACCATTGTCTTGTCATCCATGAGTTAGGGTTTAAGCCACAAATTAATTTTGTTTCACAGCCATTTATAAAAAAAAGAAGAAAATTGATAGCATAGGAAAATTTGTATAGTAATCATTGCTTTCTCATGTGTAATAATAGTATTATCTTTATGTAAAAAAATGTTTTTTGATGATGTTTTTCTAATGACAATTAAAGTAAAACTTATAGCTATCCAACATACGTTGAACTTTACGGAACGGAGTGATAAATTTATTTCAACTATAAGTATCAACAGGAATAGTTTTAAAAATATATTCGGCTGCTATAGTAATGGGTAGCAAAGATACTAGAGTTTTGTTAATTGTTGTTATAAAAATCGATCCACTTGGTTTCAGAATTTCATGCATCCCTATGGAAAAAAATTATAAAATGTTTTATATTTTTTTCAGTATTTTATTTATATTTAATAATTTCCTTGGCAAAAATTTTTCTAGAATTCTTCATATAATTTTCACAGAATTTTATAAAATTCTTATATAATTTCAGAAAATTTTTTAGAAAAAAGATGAAATGATGGATTTTCTAAAAAGTTTTACATTTTTGGAATACTTCAGAAATACTGAGAAAATCTATATCTTTTCTAGAATTCTTTATACAGGATGTCCAGCAACGCCTCCTGTAAACTGATGGAGTGGGCTAGACTGAGTCAAAAAGTTTTTTATAAAAAATCAAGTTTTGAAAAATATAAAATAATTGTTTATATATAATTATATATATAAAATTATACATAATTACTAATTTTATATATAATGATAATAAGCAATTCTTTTATATTTCTCCAAACTTGATTTTTTCTAAAACAAACAATGTGAAAATTATCCTTGTCATGATTTTTTTGTTTTTCCATTATTATCAAAGATACCAGAAGGTTGCGGGTTATCGCCATATCTTTATTCATTACTAATGCTCGGCTGGCATTAGCAATGACATAGCGATAACCTGCAAACTTGGTCATATCTTTGAAGAAAATATCCATGAAAGTCTCAAAAGCATTATTATTATTATTTTTATTATGCTACACAGTAATTTAAAAAAAAAGGATGTATGGACATGTGTGGACATATTTCATATATAATTACATGTTTACGAATGTTTATGCATGTTTCTGTATGTTTATATATATATTGACATATATTCGTGGATGAAAAATTTTTTACCGTGTTAGAAAAACAGAAAAGTGTTTATTTCCAGCTTTAGTATAGCTATTTTAACACATGTGCAATGTGACTGTATCTATAATATAAAGTAGAAATCATATGATGTAACATAAGAAATATTATCTTATATAAAATGTAGAATATACTTCATACATTTTACTCTTTGATTATCTTACATCGACACTTCCCTAGTAAAAATGTTTTAATGGTTAAAATTTGTAAGTAATTATGTGAAATTATGAGAAATTTTTCAGATTTTACACATATTCGCATGTAAAATACAGATGACTCTACACAATGAGTAACACAAATTTAGAAGACATTTAAATAAATTTAAATAATTTTGAAATTTTATAATTTTGAATTGAATACTAACGATATATAAAAAGCAAACCGTACACTACATTTTACGGTACATATTGGATTAAATAAAATGAAGATAAACGGAAACAAAGAAAGAAAGAAAGAATAACATATTTGAATTCATTTCTACAAAATATAATAAATCAATGATTTATAATTTTCCAATATTTGTTTTTACACACACAAAATGAATATATTTTTAATGAAATTTAAAGTGGATTACGTATAAATACTTACCTTAAGGTAGATATACTAACTTGTGATTATAACAAGGACACAGTACGTCAGACGTGTACTGTGTTTTTTATCTCACATATTTCTAAAATTAGCACTGTAAACCACGTGACTATTAGGATTGGCTGCGTTTAGCAGAGAAAACTAATCAGTTTCTAGCGTTTAGTGATTCTTTCACATGATTGGTTCTTGCCTTCAGTTTTTCGCTGGATCTAAGTGCAGTAACCAATTATATTAAAGAATTACTAAGCACTAACTGATTAGTTTCTTTTGCTAAACGCAGCTATTGATAAGTATTTTCTAGAGCGCGAAATATGAAGATTGGACTGTGAAAAAGTTATGTAAAAAATATAAAAATATTAATATGTATCAATCCTTTCTCTGTCAAAAGTTTGATAAAGACTGCAGGTAGACGCTCAGCATAAAAATTTAAACAGAAACAAAATCAATACAATATTTAATTTTTAAACAGTTGTTGACAAGATAAGTGCCGAGCATCCTAAAGGCATGTTTGATACTTATGCGGAAATTTGACAATCTGAAAATTTCTTAAATCTAAAATTGGTTGTATCAAACCTTCAGTTTTATTTAAATACGTTATCTCACAAAACATTTCTTATATTAAATTTATTTTAAATATGCTAGTTTCTTTTTGCTTGATTGCATGAAGGCCATAAAAAGTTGCTGTACATGATGACCAAGACCACTGTTTTAACAATGGGTTAATTTTTAATCCATGAATTAATCTCGTTCTGCATCCATCTTTCAAAAAAAGTTTAAACAATTATGACACAATGTAAAAACGCTTACATGGCAATTATTTACAAAATTGGTTTAATCATACAGATATCTTTATAAAATTAAATGTCTTTTTGATAATGTTTTGATCGTTTTCATTAGATAATAGCGGAGATAAAACTTACAACCATCCAATATATGTTGAACCTCGTGTGGTGTGATAAATTTATTCCATTCATGAGTACCAAGAGGTACTTTTTTGAAAATGTATTCTGCTGCTACAATAACAAGCAACCAAGATGCTACAGTTCTATTTTCTGTTGTTATAAAAATTGATCCTCCAGGTTTCAAAATTTCCACACATTTCTATAAAGAATATTCATAAAATATATTTAATTTTATGTCTATATTTAATAATTTTTATAACCTTTATCGTAATGTACAGGGTGCTTCAGAAATGGGTGGACAAACTTTAGTATTACATTCTACTGTCCTTAAGGATAAAAAAAAGTCATATAAAGATCTGGAAGTTCTTCCTTTTTGAGATATTTTAACTATGCAACGTTTAGATAGAAACTAATTTTTGTTTCTATCTACGATAGTCGATAAGCTGCCTTCAATGACAGTATCACTTGCTCTATCACCATATTTACTTCATGTGATATCTGTTCATGTAAACTTTTGAAATAAACAGAGTGTTTATATCTTAAAAAAGGGAAAGTTTTTGGATCTATATTTATATCGCCTTTTTTCATCCTTAGGGACAGTAGAATATGATATCAAAGTTTAACCATTTATTTTTAGGACATGCTGTATACCTTTAAAAATAGTTGCGCATTTGCTACATGCTCCAAGACCTCAGACGCCACAACAGCATCGTACGATTCCCTCTCCTTTTGAGAGAAATCTTCTACAGTTGTTTGAATATAGTTCACTCTCTCTGATATATTAGGATCCAATTTTGCATGCTCTTTTGCAATATTTATTAAATCTGCCGATGCATCTATTCCGGTTACTTTTGCTCCTATTCTAGCTAAACGTTCAGTCAATATACCTCCGCCACAACCAACATCCACAATCTTGACTCCTTCCAATGGAAGAACTGCATTCTGCATTTGGACTCCGGCATTTGCTAATCCATCCCTCACAAACTTTATTCTGAACGGAGCATATAAATGAAGGTCAATCATCTGGCTGTTCTCACTCCACCAGTCATTTTTTAAGTCAGAGTGGTGTTCAACATCCTTAGGATCCACTGTCGACATTGGTTTGACGATTTTATAGATACATTCCGATAATCTGCAATAAGTAATCAATCCTTATTTTCTTATATACAGATACTTTTATATACTTATATAACCTGAGCTAAATAAGACATTGATATTCCTTTAATGGAAAATTCTTGTGACGTACCATTAAAAAAAATTTTTTATATTTTAAATTTAAAAAGATTTTTAACAATATATTTTGAACTTTTTCAGATTTTACGTTTTCTTCAGAAATTATAAATTGAAAAATTTTATTATATTTCATAATTAACATATATTTCATAATTACATATATAAGGAATTCTAAGAAAGATATAAACTTTCTCAGCATTTCAGAAGTGTTCCAATTTATAAAAGTCTGAACAATTTTTATGAAATTACAAAATTAAATAGAAATTGTAAAAAATTCTTAAATTTATACAGAAATCCTAAAAAATATTACATAAAAATTTTTAAGAAAAACTTTTACGAGTCCATCTATATAAGATAAAAAATATAGCAAAGTAAAACAAAATAAATTTACTAAAAAAAAAAGAAACAATTTGGGATTCATATTACATTATTAGATATATTATAAAATACATAATTAGATATCACACCTGTTTCGTAAAATACTTCTTGACGATCCAAAACATTTAAGAACATTCCAAGTCATTATGTTTGATCGCAATTGTATTTATAGCCTAACAGCAAATTACAT